GGACAAGAGACATGGCACTGGGGTGTATGGTGTGGGGAGCAGCACCTCTATGACCCCCCAGAGGGGCTGGGCTAGTGGGTATAACCCTGTGGCCATCCCTCCACCATGTCCAGCCTCCAAAGGATGAGGTCCCCCTCTCTCCCTGGGGTCAACCTGCCCTAGTGCTGCCCCGGGGCAGTAGGGAGGGCTGGGGTGATCAGGGCCGGGCGTCCTGGTGGGCGGCTGGATGCGAGGGGCTGTGTCCCATCCTGGCAGAGACGTGGCAGTGGACATGGGCAGAGGGCCAGCGCACGCTCTGCTACTGTTGATGGTGCTGGGCTGCTCGGCTGCCTTCATCGACCTCCTGCTGCCGGGCCCCGAGGAGCCGGTGGTCAACGTGGCTGTGGTGTTTGGGGGCACGGCCTACCCCCTGCACATCCGCTCCCGCCTGAGTGCCCAGAGCTTCCTGGACATGCCTCTGGAGATCCATCCCATCACTGTCATCGTCAACAACACCAACCCCAGCACCCTCCTCACCCAGATCTGCAACATCCTTGCCAGCCACAAGATCCACGGCATCATCTTCGAGGACAACGTCGGCACAGAGGCCGTGGCCCAGATCCTTGACTTCATCTCCTCCCAGACCCAGGTCCCCATCATCAGCATCAGCGGCGGGTCTGCTGTGGTCCTGACCCCGAAGGTGAGGCATTCACTGGGGGTTATTTCCAGGGGGATGTGGGAGAAATGAGGGATTACTAGACAGGGATAGATATGGGATGTGAAATGCTGGAGGGCAGAGTAGCTGCTGGGCTGCAGCACGGGGGTTCACGGGCAAGAATAGGCAGTGGCTGTGGCAGCGTGGCTGACCAGGGTGGTGTGGAATGGCAGAGGACTTCAGTGCCCTGTGGAGGGACCTTCCCTGGTGTCCGGCTCCCCATCCCCTCCAGGCTGTGCCCACCATGGGGTGCCGGGGTCATGGTGCCAGGGCTGCCAGGGCAGCTGCAGAGTTGGCACGTCCCCATTCTCCTCCCTCCCCGCCCTGCCGGGGCTGGATCCAGCCCTGAAACAGCCGGGCCAGCAGCATGGACCTCTCTCGGCTGTGGCAGTGATCTCAGGTGCACCACGGGCTGAAACAGGATTTTTGGCTTCTCTGCTCCTCGCTAGCATCACGCACTGTCACTGTCACCTGCCTGCCGGGAAGCGCTGGTGGCAGGGAGAGCTGGAGCCGGGCTGGAGGGTGCTGGGCAGGTGGCGATGGGCTGCGGCAAGGCTCCTGTCCCTCCCGGGGAGGAGATTTGGGTTATCTCCTCCTGGCTGCTCATCTTATCTTGCCCAGCGGGGCACTGGAGGGGTCCCAGCGCTGGCTCCTTCACATGGCAGGCGCCCCCCGGGGGGGGA